GCCAAGACCCGAACTAAATCAGTCAAGTGCCAAAGCTATTCATCTTACGGCTCGAAGCAATGCGTTCCGACTTCTTCCAACTCTTGGGATTGATTATGTGATCTGCGAGACATGAAATGCACAACAATTTAAGGAGGTACGTCGAAATAAGAAAATAATTATACATTGTATAGTATCGAGGAATATAAACTTGATATGAATATTGAATAATTGATAAGATAATATGATTGACAATTCGATTCTGAAAGAATAAACACGTTAATAATTGTATTAGATAGCTTGGATTCGGTGGGATGAATTTCATAGATGATACTGGGGGTTGACCTAAATCGTAGCGTCTTGTAGAAGTCGTTGCGTTCGATTACGCATAAATATGATTAGGAGGGAACTGCTTTTACGGCCACTATAAAGAGAAGATTTTATTCGTATTGATATTTGTTGAGAAAAGATTTATATTTCTGCGTTATTATCTGAGTTAAGTAAAGCGTTTCGGGTCTTCGTCTGGATATATATATATAAAGAGGGATACATATAAATGGTCGTAAGATAAAAAAATATTTAGATATATATATATATTAATTTGTCGATAATGAATAGATATTTCTATTTGAGTCGAATATCTTTATGACTAATGAGTAGGCGATTATATATAATTGTTATTTATTGGATATATTTAATATTGAAGATTTTTCTTGAAAAAAGATTGTGATTTTATTTCTGAAAGATAGCTATTATATAGATTTTAATTAACATTCTCGTAAATTATGATCTACGAATAATATATAATTTATAAGAGCGTAGACTTGATTCTATTGATTTCAGATTTGATTCGAATAGGTCTATAATATAATTTGTATTTGGAGATTATCTAGATAAATATATCTTGAGTAATAATGTTTGATCTCGATTTCTTGTATATTGTCGCGATATAAGCCTATTATTCCGTTTTTTTCTAAAATATAGGAATATATATGAATAGAATCTAATCTTAGATAAAGATTATTATATTTAGGAAGATTTTTCGGATTTTGATATTATGCTATATTCGATTTGTATAGACTCTGATTTTTTTGACTATACGACGTATATTAAGAGGGCGAGATATCCAATATTTGCTTCAAATTCCTTTCAAGTTTTCTATGTAGACAACATAATACTTTGCTCAGTTAGTGCAAGGACCCTTAACGAATTCATCAAACATATTGAATTTTAGAATAAAATAATATAGGTTCCAATTAAATAGATCTAAATATTGCGATCTCAAGATCTCGTCAATATTTATTTTTCAGACGACGTCTTATTACCGAACGCACAAAAAATTTCTTATTATTAATAATATTTTCTAAAGTCTCCATATCAGATATGAGATTATGCAATATATTCAAGATATTCAATCAATTTGGATAGCTCTGCTATCCGTAAATGGCAATTCTTAATCTATGATGTAGTTATTCGTAGTGGTTTATTCTATGATTTTGGTCTCATTCATTTAGCGAAGTCGTTGACTTCCAAGTTCAATGCTTTCCGTCATCGAGGAATACAAAAGATATTATATTTAGATGATTCTTTTGTAAACCGCGCAAATACTAATGCACGATTGTTGGAAGTAGCGACACAAGCTGCAGGAAAGTCGGTTGTCAATTTGACCAAATGCTGAGCGCTAGAAGAGTCAAATTAACAGGTCACTTTTAAGATTCTTTGATACTGACCCCTTAAGGCAAATTAGTTATCAAGCAGGCAGTGTTTAATCATACGAGATTGGACATAGAAGAGTCGGACGTCCACATCAGCAATGATTATATAATATTAATTCCGCTCATGTCAGCAATGATTATATAATATTAATTCAATTATATTCAGTACTCTATCCAACCTCCAATATGTAGCCAGCAGTCAATAAAATGACATGATATTATGTGATGCAAGCTTCAGGACATTTTAATCAATGTTCCGTCAGCTCTCCAACGCGCCGAAGCGCGTCATTTATCTGCTATATTGGGCAAGATGCGCAAGGTTGCTAAAAAAGATTCGTCTGTGATTATGATGATCATTATATATATATATATAGATATTTTTATCGATTTAAGATATTTGTTCTATAAAATATTGTGCGTTTGCTTTGGTTTCGGATTTGATTGCCGGTACGAATTCACGAAAATCCCGCAATTTTGTGAGCGTTGGTATATTTGCGGCTGTCTGCCTTTAAATTGAAGGCGAATCTTTAATACGATAAATCCTGAGATTTGGGCTTTCGTATCACGCATAATTCCTAGGAAATTCAGTATTGCGAGTTATGGCATGTTCGGTAGATTTTATTCTATATTCTAGTCTTCACTTCAATATGCCGTTCAATAAAATATTGGATATCATCGACGTTCACTATTATAATGAATGCTTGAATAATTTGATCATATTACGGAGGCTAGGCATCATGCACTCTAATATGATAGTCAAGTGCTTTGAGGACTTGTCGTGCCTGTCGCATAATCGTATGAATCGAATAGACATCGTAGCTACAGGCCGGAACGTAGAAATATAAGTTGCCGTTGAGGGCGTGTATGCCGTGCTGGGTGTCGAGGAGTGGCGAGCGAAGGTGGGGAGTGTCGCGGAGTGGCGGAGGGGGGGCGGGCGTGTGCGTCGTGGGCGTGGAGCGGCGAGCGAGAGCCGGTCGGAGGGGAGATCGTAGAATGGAGGGAGAGTATATGTGTGTTGAGGGGAGCACCGTCAGAAATTAGAGATATAAATCTAAAGATTAGGGGGAGCGCTATGGAGATATGAACATAAAATATATTGATTGAAAAATATGGAATAGGATTTATTTATCATAGAATGATGGGTGGGGAAATGCGCTATCTCTTCCCTCTAATATTAAAGGACCTCCCTCCTTCTTGGGCTTTTATATTGGGAGGGATTTGGTATTTAAGCATACACTCGTTCCGGTAATCTTGAGTCCTTCCATCTTAAATCTTATATCTTAAATCTTAAGTCCTTAAACCCTTAACCCCTAAATTCCAAAGTCGTAAGCCTTAAACCATATGTAAAGCCTATCATTTTTAATGAATATTCAATTATGGATCGAAAATACAAATCTCGGAACAATATTAGGGAGGAGTTTAGTATTAGTGGGAAGAGATTCATAGCATATATCTAGATATAGTTACCGATAGAACCGACGGAAACTTTTTTAAAATTTTTGAATTATTAGGATATGAGCGACGTTTTTTATTCGCATACATGTATGATACGATACAGCCTCATCTGAAATCGAATGTACCGCAGCGTTTCGGCCAATTACTGTAGCTCTAACGGTTTGTATAGGGCGATATGGAGGGTAGAAGAGAAAGCCAGATTCAGCGGGGTCTAGGCAGGATCAGCTTACCGCCTCTTGGCTCTTCATTTTGGACCCGGATGTTAAAAATTTTTGAGTCATAGACATGCGAATATGATTTTATGATGATTAGATGTTCATTAGATCAATCTATAATGAATAATTTGAAATATCTATAACAATATCGCACATGTAATCATTGCACATAGCAGATTTTTTCTATAATATTAATATCTTGAAAATTTCAAGCTACATATATAGAATCTATTTTCCAGATAAAAGAGACTCCTATATATTAAGGTCAAAATCTATGCTTCTTGGAATTGATCATATAATCTAGGAGATGGGAAAATAAGCAAAGAATCATGGAGGGATAATGAAATGAATAAGCAAATAGAAATATATAATTGAATTTATATTGAATAATGAAACAAAGTATTTTGAAAAGAAAATATCATTATAAAAGTATAAAGATAATAATTTTAATAGAATCAAAAAATTTAGATTTTATTTGATAAAAGTGGGAGATAATGAAGATTACCTATTTCTTTGATCATTTATTTTGATATTATCTCGCAAATAAACAAATGAAATTAATATGAAAAGTTAATGAATATTTATACTAATGAAAATTATATCATATATATATATAACCGATAAATCAAATTATTCCGAAATCGATTATTTCTACAAAATAGAAATTGAATTTTCTTAAATAAAAGTTCTATAAGAATTTGAATCATCTTAATAAAGATATATTATTTCAAATTTTATAATATCAGAATTTGATATATAGAACGATATTTTAATCTTTGAAATAGATATAATATTAAGAAAAATTTTCATATATAATTCTGAAATATCAATTTTCAATATATTTAAGAACTTATATATTCTTATCATGAAAATTAAGAAAATATATAGATAATAGGTAACGAAATAAAATTGAATTATATATTTGAAAATTCGTACGGTTTTAATTAATATTATTCTCGTTTTGATATATGAAAATTTAATTTATTTCAGTAATCAAAATTGTTGATCATCTCGCTCATGAACCCTGCTGTCAGCCTCACTGACAGGCTGACCGGGTGGTAAATCACTGAGGTTCGGGTTGTCTTCGTTCATCTCGTGGTTGGGATTCCGGCCTATCCGTATCCGTATATCCCTTCGCCGAAACCTCAAATGAAACTCCGTGGTTTCAAAGGCCCATGGCTCACACGACGCTGCTTTTCCTTGCACAACAGAACAGCCTGCGAAGTTCAGCTACTGTTGTCTCTAGCTTTGCTTTAGACAAGGTGTGCAGCCCTCCATGGTCCTTTAAGCCATGCGCTGCAGCAGTTGCTAGTGGAGAGGTGGTCCTGCTGTACAATTGCTACCCTTCAGGAATTTCCACATTCCTCCTTGGAATCGCCGCTAGGCGAATTCCACCTTTTGGGCACGAACACAATACTGGCAGATCGCTTTCTGCTTGACTGACCCTGCGTTCCTAAGTCCCCGGCAACTCCGACAGACATGGATACACTCGCCTCCCCCAGAAACATACACACCATCCTCAGGACTCAACACCACTACAGGGCTTGTCTGAGTTGCCTGGGTACATGTGACTACTCTACCCGCGTTTGGTCCTCCCCGAGTCCCTGGTGGCTCAACCCTGAATGGTTCAACAGACCCCGTAGGCACAGGTCGAGGAGTGGGCACTCCTGGGTAGGCATTTGCGGTAGTAGACGAGGCAGCGGCAGCTGCCTGTCCAAGGAACTCTCGGGGTTCCTTTGTAGGGGCGAGGTGCATATTGATGCCTCCGTAGACGACGGTGGGACTTGGACTGGGCCCAGGTTCTGCTTCGGCTGCCTCGGAAGGACATTTGTTCCTTCCCTTGCGTGGGACGGGACGACCTTCGTCCCCGGTAGGGCTCTCGCTGACTGCGCTATCAATAGCCGCGGCAACACGATCCTGCAGCTTCTTAGCCCGCCTCTCCTTGACCGACACGGCCCGCACATGAGGTGTGGATTCACGCCTTCTGCGACAAGGGGCTCCAGAAGCTTCCCACACAAACAACGTCGAAAGCACCACTAAAAGCGTCAACACTGCCAGCTCCCATGACCACTCAATCGGCATGCCTTGGTCCGCATCTTCACCTCCTTCACCTTCTCCCTTGCACACGCAAACCTGCAGCAACCACAGTACTGAAGATAGGCATGACGAGGGTGCACTCGCGACAGATCGGACTGTAGGCTCCTGATTTTGATCCTCAGCAGCTCTGGGCATGGGGCCCTCTCCAAGCTGCAGTAGGTCGCACAAAAACCGCATGCGAGCAGCCGGCAACGGCTTTGTCAACAAATCTGCACGTTGGTACTCTCCTCTGCAGTGCTTGACCTCCCAGCCTGACTGGATCAGTTGGCGTATTTTGTACGCTCTGACCTTTAGGTGTCGCGTTCTTCGACTGCTTGAGCCTCCGATAAAGGCGATCGAGGCCGTGTTGTCTAGCAGCAGCTGCACCGTGCTGCACTGCACACGCAAATCCTGTAGCACAGTCAGCAGCGACTCTGCGTACATGCATCCCTCCACCGCTTGGATCAATTCCGCCTCCGAGGAACTTAAAGCTATGAGGGCTTGACGGGATGCCCGCCAAACGGCAGGAACGCCGAACAGCTCGACCACATGTCCCCCGTAGGAATGCTGGCCCTGAGGAGAGAAGCTAGCATCTGTAAACACCCTAACCGGTGCTGCTGTTTCATCTGGACGCAGGTGCAACTTGAAACTCTTCGTCTGGTGCAGGTAGCACAGCAACCTTCGCCCTATCGCCAAAGTTCCTTGTGGGTCCTTCGAAACCCGTGAACAGAGGATTGCCGTACTGAAGGAGATATCGAATCTCGTCCTTTGGGACAGCCAAAGGCATTCCCCTGCTACCTTCTGCGCGGCCTTGATGGTCGCTTCGTCAGCCTTGGGTGCTGATTCCGGCTCACTCATGAGGATCTCCTTGGGACACACGACCTTTGACCTGTCGCTACTGGTCAACGCGTAGGCTCTGACAAGCTCGTCGATGTAGGACTCCTGATCCAGACTGAAGTGCCCGTCTTTATGCCTTTCAAGCTGCATCCCAAGGAACCGCACTGGTTCCCCTGTTTTTGCCTCACTGAGGCCGTCAGTCTCCCACCCAGCACCTTCCAACAGCCACTGGTGCAACCCGCGCGCAGTAGGACCATCGCTGAGGATGAGGAAATCGTCCACGTAGGTCACCAGAAACCCTTTTAGGTCTTCCCCCTTCATGATCCGCCAGAGTGACGGATCTGAGGTACCCTGCTCAAGATGGCAACCCAAAAACGACGCGGTAAGGAGCTTCGTGTCCCGGTGGTCACTCCACCAAGCTGGTGCTTCTTTGAAGCCGTACAACACCTTGCCCAACGAGTAGTACTCGTCAGACGACGCCAGGCCTAGCTCCACAAGCCATCGTGGTGGACGCAGCAAGTAGCGCTGAGCAGCATGCTGAGGTATGGGGGTTTGCGTGAACGCTGACTTGATGTCGGTGGTGAACCCGGACCACCCATGACGGCATGCTTGCACCAACGACGCGCGCACCAACTCGGCTGGGGCTCCAGCTGCGTACAGGGAATCAGTATCAACATGGGAAGCTTGGTTCCCACAGCCTACCAGCCTGCACTTCCTTCGGTACAGGCCATCTTGTGGACCTGACGGAGCCTTTGCTGTGAACACACCTTTGAGGGGAATCACGGTGGTTCCCGGTCTGGCGATTAAGCCTTGCGCTTCCTTCCCAAAGTGACTGACTAGGACCCCAGGCTCCTTCAACGACCTGAGTTCCTTCTCTATTGCTCCCTTCCACTTGTGCAAATGGGCCCTCACCTCCTCCTGCGCTGCTGTATGCATCACACTCAAGGGTTCCGAAAGGCCCTCAAGGATTGCCTCAAGGCCCTTGGTTGTAGTGGCCTCTGTCTTGCACAGCATTGCCTCCTCCTGAGGTGGCACCTCTCTAAGAGGTCGAGCAGGATGCGCTTGGATGAAGGTGGGATTAGGCAAGGGGACAGGAAGACGGGATGGGCGATCCCCACTTGTCTTCCCCGCCTCATCGGAACACTGTATGACACGGACCTCGGGAGGTGGAGGTCCAGGCACTTGCAACACTGGCTGTAACGGGTTCCCGTTCCCTTCCTGCTCCTCCTCAATTAGCACCACACGCAGAATCACCATTTCGGTGACATCTCGCACCAAATCGTGCACCGAAAACATGATCATGCGATCAGGGAACGGTGTCTCATCCGGTGGACCGTCGTCGGAATAGTCAAGTACACGCGCTGCCAACACCGGTCCTGCTGGACCATTCACGATCAACTCTGGGTCCCTATTCCAGTTGCGACCCTGAAACACGTGAGCGACCAACAGGTTGTGAGGGATTGAGGCTGACACTGAGTCCATGCTTGGGTCTTCATCTGCACCTCCTAACACCCTCTGCCACCTGGAAATGCGCGCCTCAAACTGTTCCTCATCAAGCTCACACAACTCGGCCCACTCTGGTCCGCTCATTCGTGCGTACCTCACACTCAGGCCTGCACGCCTCGGCGGGGGGTCACGACGAGGTCTGGTCTGCGGTAGTCGCTGGGAATACGGTCCAACCAGCTTGCACACTGTAGGCATGACGGCACCAGGCAACCTAAAACCCAACTCCTTCAATTCACTCTGCCTATTAGAGGGGAGCCTATAACTACCCAAAGGCGTATACCCTGCTATCACCCAGTTGGTGGCTGGGAGGACTGAGTGGCGTTGCTTCGGATCGAAGGTTGTGGTTGCCTGTGTCAGGGGCATTCTGTAGCCTTGGCGCTCGATCCCCTTTTCATCAGCACACACCTGCCCCAGGCCAGTCTCAGTCGCTCTCTCGATCCACATGTAACGAGTAGCAACCTGGGTGACATAGTTGACTGTGCCAGGCTCATTCCTAACATCCCTATGAACCGCAACTTCCGGGGCGACAACCACAGTCAAGGCACTCCACTGTGGATTGCTCTGCCCATGTGGCAGATTCCTTCTCAAGTACTCATTCAAGTAGCGGCACACTTCAGGGTATAAGCGACTTGCTCGCGTCACTCCATACAACCCACCATGTCCATAGGCTCCTAGAACCACAGCAAGTTCCATAGGGCCTCGGTGAGTTCTTCGTGACGCTGCTTCAGTACCTCCGAAGGCCAACTCAAGGAGTCTTCCGCAGTGATCGGGGGTGAACAAGCCGTTTCTTAGAAAGTCTTGTGCCAAGGTCTCAGCAGGAAGAGATATGGCTCGAACTGCTCGTTTTCCCAGTGACACGTCGGCTGGGAACAGGTGGCGGCTTACCTTCGCTTGCTCTCGGCAATTCCTCAGGAACGTCGGCTTCAGCTGCCATTTCATCACCTAACTCTGCCTCCGGATCAACCAGGTTCTCAATGCACCTGACATTTTTAGCGACCAAGTAGGCACCCGACAGAGCTCGTTGCAACACGTGACCACCTTCCATCCGCGGCGTGGGGCATAGATACACTGCATGTTCCCACCTTATGAAGGGGCGCTTTGATCTCCCAGTGGGGTGTTTGCTCTTGAAAATCACCTTCTGCCCGAACCTTGGAAGCCTGTTGTCTACCTAAAGCATTCGGTTGCGGTGTTCCGCACATGCAAACGACATAGCTGCTGGCCATTGTTCCACACCCAATCCTGAGGCTGCTAAGTGCAATCTTGCTCTGGCCTTGACCCAACCTACCAGCCTTTCTGCCAACCCGTTGGATTGCGGGTCATCACCTTGGGTAAAGGAGGGTTGAATGAGCTTCGACTGAAGCCACTCCACAGTCGCCTTCGACATTAACTCCTTGGCTCGATCGGTATGAGCAATCTTCACTGGAAACCCAAGGCGGTTGCACTCTGTGACTACCTCTTGAAGCGCCGCCAAGATTTGAGGGCCCTTGCGCGACTTCACAGGCACAGCAAACCTCAAAACCTTGTTGGCACCGTTGAAGAGCAACTGCGACAAAGCATCATCAAATTGCTCATCTGACATGTCGGCTACACCCAACTCGTCATCCCACAGGTCACCCTCTAACCCCGAAGCCTGTTGACCATCAGGAATTCCTTCTGGCTCTGCCTCAGCCTGGTCTTGCTCGCCTTCATCATCAGGCTCAGGTAACTCTTCTAGGTCAGGCATCTCAACCCAGCTAGCAACCGACTCCCTATCTTCCTCTGAGTCTGAATCTGGGTGGCTAACATGTATGATACCAGCAGTCGGCTCTAAATCGGGATTCAACCAGCTGGCCTCTGACCCTTCATCATCTGCAGGCACCAGTCGATTAGTCCCAATGTTATCAGACTTGGGTCCTGGACGATCAGTGGTAGGCTCCGGCACCTCAACTCCTGGCAGTGCAATGTCTGGCACACGCAAACCTGCCACCAACACATACTTGTAGCCACCTCCTTTTTCATCCTTGCCACGTTCCTTGAACGGGCCGGCGAGGTCGAAAGCTAGGGCGTACATCGATGGACATTTTACACGCCTGTGCTGCATTCCCAGCGCCCCTGCCATCACACATTTAAGGCAATCCTTCCTGAAAGGGACATGATGCGCTGCCAGATGGCGGCGCCATCGTTCCTTGTCCTTTTCTGTAATGGGCTTGGACGTAGGCCTGCTTCGTTCGTGAACCGGTGCAGCAAGTTCCTTCTTCTTCGGTGCCGCTGGGGGCGAGGGTGAAGATTCGCCCTCCTCATCTACCGGACTCAGAACTCCTGCGCCAGGTGGTGGCTCCTCCTCAGGTAAAGGAGAACCTACCGGATCAACCGACGAACGGGCATTCACAGCACTAACATGCGGGGTGACAGCGACATTGAGTTCCTGATCAACAGAGTCCATGCCAAAGAGGGCTGACGTCACTTCACTTCTCAGAGCAGCTGGCCAACCTGGAATGCACGGTGCAGAAGCCACGCTTGTATTAGAACCTCCATTCCTGACACCGCACTCGCTGAACCTCAAATTTGAGCATACAACCATAGGCCTAGTTCTACCTCGAGCCTCAATGACCCCTGGCACCTGGAACTGGCTGCAATTGCTCCATGTCGAAAACGGGTCCACGACAGAGCTCATTCACGGGGAATTGGGGTTTGTGGCATTCACTGCGTGAGTTTGCATAAAGGGGACGCCTTGACCCTTGGCAATTGATGCAATCGTCCACAGCCACATGGGCAGCAGGGAAAACACCGTATCGTCTTCCACCTTCTGTTGCAGGGCTGTAGTATTGCTGGACAAACCCCACGGGTGCTGGGCCGTCCGAAGGTGAACTGGTGCAGCATCATCAACTTTCACACCGTTCCAAGTTCTCATTTGAGCATCAGCAACAATGCCAGACAGCCTACCAATGAAGGCGGCCCACGACAGGGCCTTCCAGACCTTTTGCTCAATAGCACTGCCTTCGACAAGATTGATGGTCACAACCTCCACACCTTGGGCTTGGCAAATCTGTCTCAGAACAGGGTCAACCTTACCTGCTCCCAAGTGGAGAAGCCACGAGTGCGACTGGTGAAGACTTTTCCTAATCCTACGATTATACGGAAGCCCCTTCAACAACTCCCATCCATTGACTCCTTCTAGATCAACGACCAAGCGAGCAAGGGATGCACTCGGGACTTGTTCAAGGAATGACATCATCTTGATCAAAGTCAGGGCACTGGTGTAGCTACCAGACTCCACGAATGCATTCAAGGCACCCTTAAACCCAAGTCCCGTATCGGCCTTCAGGTGCGCCTGAACCCTCTTCAACCTTCCGGCGAGGTCGCCTAAGCGGGCTCCTTCCAACTCCTTGATGAGCGATAGGGCCTGCTCCTTGCTAAACTGAGGACATCCTCCCTTCAGGCTTGTTTTCAGGCGGCCTAGCTTGGGATGAATCAATTGCAGGCCTCCTCTCTAGGACCATCGAAGGGAACAACCAAGCTGGGTTACGAGGCTTCCTAACGGGAGTATGGTCTGAGGTGAATGTCCATCGCCGGTGACGGGAGCCACCAACGACCCTCCTGGGGTCTGATGCCAGGTCTGGCGCTGGTCGCCAGCTAGCGACACCGTGCACGGCACCAACTGCTGAGATCCCGCGGCCGCATCGTCCACAACCACATGTGTTGCGCCTGAGTCCAGTAAAGCCGTGGGTTCACAGGATCCTTCTGGTGCATGGCCACGAACAGAACGGATCTGCGGGCCTCCATCCAACACTCTAGCTTCCAAGTCTTCGAGCTGCGCCTGGATCTTCGCCGCTACGGCCATTGCTTTCGCCCCCGGGTGCTTGGCTGGCTCCTCCTCCTTGTTGCACAGCATCGCCCGTGGTCGGGCCCACAGCCATAGCCTCACGTAGGACCCCGGCGGCATCAGAAAAGACCTTGCGAAGTCCAGGGTCTCCACCCTTTGCTTTGGGGCTTGCCTCACTGCGCATAGCCTTGGCTGAGCTTGCACCATCATCCCTTTTAACCAAAGGAGCTCCAGTCACTACGGTGCAGGCGTCCTTTCTGTGACCTTTGCCTCCGCACAGCATACACCTATCAGCCCTCTCACCCTTTGGAATCTGATTCCAATCATGAAGGAAGCGGCATTCCTTCCCTCGGCGACACCCTTTTCCCTCGGCGAACCACTTACAAACCTTCTTAGGCGACTCGGCTCCGGAAGGGGCTGGCGGCTTTAATGGCTTCTCCTTGCTGGCGGCCTGTGCTACCTCACCTCCACCTCCCGTTGCTGCCCGGGCCTCGATCTGACGCACACCCTTGTTGACCTCCGGCTTGCCTCCTCCTACAACATTGCTTGGTGGGGAATCTGCAACCCTCGAAACACCTTCCAACTCAGCGAGCAAGTGTTCGAAAAACTCATCAACCTTGGTTGCCGACGGCTGAGTGTCCAGGTGAAGAGAGGCCCGAACCAAGTTGACCCTGAACGACAAGCTGGGAAGTGCCTTGAGAACACCTGAGGTAATCCCTTCAAGGGCCTAAATGCTCACTGCAGCATCTGGCTGTGTTCCGCCCAGGTCCGACAAGCGTGTCATCCAACGCTTCCACGTGCGAAGCTTCATGACGGCATCAATCGGCGAGTCCGCCGGACGAGGCTGCTGGACCTGGCGAAGGGCTTCTGCACGCTCGGTGACCCCGCCTGGCTTGTAGATCGTGTAAAGGCGACACATGATGGGCAAAACACCGCTGACACGAGCAGACGACAACTCAGATCTTACCGCTTCTGGGCAGCTTTGCAGAATGAGGTGCTCCATGCGATGGCGAACCCTACTCCACCTTGGTTCCCTGTCGACCTCCGACGCGGGAGGTTTCAACCTCACCCTTGCAACAGGACCTGAAGGCACATACTGCGATGTGTACCACTCTTGCGCCTGTGTGAGGACCTTCTTCCAGCATTCTCCAGACGAATCCGACACATCGCTCATTGAAGGCCTAATGGCATACAACCAATCTGAGAAACCCAAAGCTCCTTCAAGCGTGGGAGGAGGGAGCTTTACCAGCTCAGTCACACCTGGCCTCACCACCTCAGGATTGCTGCCGGTGGCACCTGCAGCGGTGCCTGTT